ACCCTTTCTTTTGGAACAAGGCGTTCTTAATGTTCATCTTCTTTGTAAAACATCATGAAGAAGGTAATCATATTATTCATGAATTCCTAATCAGTCCATTGGCTATGCAGCGATTTCTAGATAAGAATCCAGAGTATTGATGTCTAGTACTGATGACATAGTACGGTGGAGAAATGGATGATCACTGTTGCTGCGATTACAATCGTCCTTCAACTACCACAATCAACGACATTACTGGCAATTTTGCATCCTGGATGGAAGGAATGACACGTGGTAGACAAGAAGCTGCATGGTTCTTAAAACGTGTGCCAAAGTCATCTACCGGCTGTCGATTCTCTAATCGACAAATTCAAGAACAGGTTGAATTCTTCAAATACAAGAAAGACAGCACAGTTCTGCCATCGAACTTGATCGTCTTATATGATTATGCAATTGTGGCAGTTTGTATGTATTATCTCTCAATTTTCAAATCAAACTAGAAGTCATTTTGGTTTCTTCTTTTGTAGTGCCAGATGATTTATTCATTACACATGCTGAATGCAAACTGAATACAGTCGGTAGACTTACACACGAAGGCCCATAGCCCACTGGTGATTATTTAATTCCTGGAGACTGCCTCAGTGTGCGTAACCTGTCCGCCGTTCGCCTCGTGCCGCAACTTTTTGATTCTAAGCTTTCTTTTTTCTTATTTCTTCCCGCTATTGCTCTGATTCTTTTGTGTTTGCGTTACATAATAAAACTTATTCATGAATGATCGAATAATACAAAAAACTTTGCTTCAGATAGGCGAAACGTGTAGAGAGTAATTTAGCCACCTAAGGAGATCTCTAGCAGGATGGAAACGCGTCGTGGTAGCTAATTGATTCCTATCAGTAGAATCTATAAAACTCATGCTACGAGTAAATAGGCCTCTGCGTCATGCAGATCTTGCCATTAAAAATGGGAGGATTTAGTACTTTAACTTCAATGTTTAATTATTGGACGAAGTAATTCTTTTGATGCTGAATTGCAAGATGGTGCAGAGTAAAGCCACTTGATGAGATCCTTAGCCGGATCGAAACGCGTAATGGTAACTGCTCATATTCTTGATTTCGATCCGAGATATTCATGAAACTCACACCCCACCCTCACGTTCAAATGGCTATCCTCTAACTTCGAAACTGCAGACACGTGCAAAGTAACAGCCACCAGATGAGACCCTTAGCAGCTCGAAAAGCGTCGTGATAACTAACCCATTTTAATGATTCTCGGATCAGAGGAATAAATGAAACTCATCCGTTTCTGTATTGGATAAAGTAGCTCTCAAGAGAAAACGCAGCCAGTAGTTTAAAAAACACAAACATGTTTTTCTCAAAAACGGTTCAAAACGAGGTTTTATTCTGTTTATTATTAAAAAAAATTTGCAAAAAACACATCCAAACTGGGAAACACGTTTAGAAAACGTTAGAAAACGTAGACAACAATAAAAAACGACAACAACGTAATATTTATATGTAGAAACATGTAAAACTGCATTATAAAAAACTGTACCTAACGTGTCAGTTTCGTTGACCGTCTTACATGAAACGCTCCCAAATATTTTTGAATTGTAAAAAGGGGTTGGAAATCCGTTTTGTTTTTACATATTTTTTAATAGGCAGTCTTGCCATGCCTTCCGAACGCCTAGCTTTTTCGAGACATTTCGACCGTGTCAGTGGAGCACGTGGATTTCGCTACCACGGCATAGCTTCTCCATTCCAAGCAACAAATCTTCCATTCAGGTTTCCTTTTGCGAATACGACATTACTCAAAATACTCTCTGCACTCTCCTCCGGCTGTATATGCGGCATCGCACCGGGCAGCTTCAAATCCGGACGCATATCAGTCGCAACTGTACCGGGATGTACCGCAACAACGGTAAACCCTTCATTCGCCAACTCCTTTGCAAAGACATTGGTAATCATACCCAGTGCACACTTTGCGGTCGAATATGCAACCTGTCTTCCCGGATTCATTTCGTGGCTACCAAGTAATGAAGATACATTAATAATTTTCTTCATTACACCCTTTCTGAGCAGTGGAAGGGATTGCTGGATGACCAATAATGGACCAAGTGCATTGATTTCGAACGCATCCATCATATCAGAACGAGTAACATTTTCCGCCTTCTTTGTTTTATCAGGCGCATATCCAGCATTATTGATAATAGCATCGAGACCAGTGCAAATACTTGATATCTGTGTAAAAGCATCTTTGACACTCTTTTCTATTTTAACGTCCATTTGAATAATATGTAGGCGATCACGATGAGCGTCCTTCAAGGCAAGAAGTGTTTTAGTATCTGAGCGAGTAGTGCCAATGACAACATTATCCGTGTCTTCAAGGAGTTTCTGAGTGAGGCAGAGTCCAATGCCGCGGTTGCAACCGGTGATGAGAATCGTTTTCAACATTTTTGAATTATCTGATATTGAAGTTTGCTTTGATCGTACTTAAAAGAATTTTATAAAAATTTTAATGTTATTTAATGCTAAGTTTTTGCACTATTAAAAGACAATATTTATAGTATATATCTGAGAGTGAGAAAGAAAGAACGAACATGAGATGAATTGAGTCAAAAAGGAAAATAAGGGGAAAATGCGTTTTGATCACCAAAAAATAATACTTTTGATCACCGTACCAATCAAAAAGAAAATATATACAACAAGAATTATGAAAAGAACAGAAAAAAACTTACTTTATGGCAACTAGGCTGTACGAACATTTTTCGAACAGTTGATGTTTCTTTGAAATTTTATTGGTTTTGTCAATTCACAACAGTTATAAATTACTGCCCTAAACTGTAGACGACACCATCAAAAAACTGTCGAAGCAAGAATGGGAAGTATAACACACAGCTAGATCGTACGACGAAGTGAAGGAATACGCAAAATTATAGTTTAGTACTTGCCAATATTTTCGATTAGATGTAAAACAACCATACAAAATATCCTTTCAAATGCAGTGAGTATAGACAGTAACCTTCTTATCATAGTATGCATAGTTCGTGGCGAAGTTAAAAAGATTTATAAAGCCACTTCGAAGCGAAGTGAAAAAACACAATGTGTGAATCCATTCTATAGATATATAAATTGTTCTTGTTGAAAGAAATTATAAAATTCAGAAAATTCGTGTCACCGGAAATGCAAGAATCCCATACACACAGAGAATAAGTCTAACTTGAGTAAGAGAAAAAGTAAAGGTGGCCCGAAAAAAGTTTGTAGACTCCTGTTGCCATTAAGTACGTTTTTTTCTGTTCTGTTCATATTTCTTGTTGTATTCTTTTATATATTTTTATATTCTTTTTATTAGCTGTCTACTAATTAATTTGTTATTAAATTGGTATATATTCCTCTTTTATATATTGTGTTTAATTGATTTGGTGATCAAAAATGTTATTTTTTGATGATCATTTCGATAGAAACAAATTTGGTAATCAAAACGAACATTTTTGATGATCAAAAAAATACATACCCGAAAAAAAGAATATTATTTTGTTCTGAATGTTGGCATGACAGTTGACTTGCGAAGTATTTCATAGTCAATGTGCGCACAGAAGGAAGAAACTCGTGCGTACACACACGTTGAATGAATGAGTGAATATGTGTGTGTGTGCATCGATCGAGTCCAACAGCTTTTAACAACAAATTAGATGAAGAATGTTGGAATTTAGTGAAAAACAAATTAAACAAAAGATTCGTTCAGCTGAAAACTAAAATGAGACAGAGCTTTAATTGCAGCGAAAAAGATTATCTGACCTTAAAACCGAGATCATTTATACTTAGAACATTACAGAAACAGACAAAATTTTTAGTAAACGTACTTAGCTCTAGGACGTGACAAAACTGTGATTGTCCTAAGAAAGTGGAATGTTAATATCGATAGTGTATCTGTAACTCAGCTCTTGTTTCAGCGTTCCAATAGCTCATTGTGTCCAGAATTCTGTCTCATTAGGCCTGTTGTATCAAAAACTTTTAGAAAAGAGATTGAAGGCAAAAAGCAATGCGAAATTTAATAGATGTACCGCTGCTCTGTTTCATTTCAAGTGAGCCGGCAGCAGTGTCCGATTACTTTTGCACTCACTATACGATTGTTGACCTATGCTATCATTCGAAAAAGTCCATATATTATACGATGATTTGGGTACAATCAGGTCATGTAAGGCTAAGGGAGAGAAGAAGAAGGAAAGCATAATCCTTTAGAACACAGTGAGTGCATTGACATATCTGAGATCGGTTTGTGTGTATCTTCTTATTCGACCATTTGACTGATTAAATTAAAAAGACAGATTCTACCGTGTTTTACTCGGGGTTTTCTTCGAGAACATAGTACAGTTAATTTTCAAACTGTTGTCATCAACCACAGATGATGTTCTCATTACATCACGACCTCTATCTGAAAAGAAAAGCTGTTGAAGACAACGAAAGATTAACTGCACTACTGGGATAGGACTGAAAAATAAATAAATTTATTGAGTTTTGAGATGATTACCATATCGACAGTCATGTTACAGTAGTAATCATCGACGATATTAAAGATCATAGTAGTATTTAATATTTGTCATGTTTTTATTTTGATAAAAAATACCGTCTCTCGAAACGTTGAACTTACTAAGAAGTTCAGCGTGCATATTTGCGATTACTATTTGTTTATTTTTTCAAGTTTAAACCGAGACTTTAACATCTGTGTTTAAATATCGTTTGTATATTTTTCACGACGAAACGGACATTTGTGTTGCTTTATCTTGATCTCTGGAACAAGAAGGCGCGATATACATATACATATAGCCTTTTCGTGAGAAAAAGTTAAATCTCTGATAGAATTTAGAGGACGTATTTATTCTAAATTTTAGTGAACGAACACCTACACTTACACACGAAGCATCCTATGAAAACAACGTCTTTGTTACAAGCTAGATACGAATATCAAACAAATATACTGTTAATGCAGGCGCGTTGTTTATTAACTATAGAATATATAAGTATGTTTATATTTGAAAATTAAGGGATTAATAGATCGAACTATCGCAACAAATACATAGCAACTTTTCTATATAGTTTTTATTTCAAACAAAGAATGGAATTATATTCAACTGCATTAGCAATAAATGTTATTCAAAAAATGATGCCGTGTACTTGATGAAAGTATTAAGAGAAAGTGTACTTTAATTCATGAAGACTCAATGTAAATGCTTAGATCAGACTGTATAAACTAACTGCAATACAAGAATAGCGATCTAACAAAGAATTTTTAAATAATTTAGACATCTGCATCATATCTACAGAGACAGGATAGTCCAGGTTAGGCCCAGGTCATATGTCCAGACCTAGCAAAAGCGGATTTGGACCTACAAGACCTGAACCTGAAAAAGGGACCTGGACTTTGACCTGAACCTGCGACCTAAAGTCTTATATCAAGTCTTATTCAAAATATCTATCACGTGCTTCTCACATATTCTAAGAACTGTTCTTAAAGTCTAGTACAGGATATTGTAAATTCACACTACTCTCAGAATTTTTTCATACAATGGACCCAGCGTCCAGGTCACAAGTTCAGGTCATAGGTCCAGGTCCAAGTCTAGGTTTATTTTTTTCAAGTGCAGGTCCGCAGGTCTAGGTTCAACTTTATAGGTCAGGACCAGGGGCCAGTTTCATCAAAAAACTTAAGTCTAACTTAAGTGAAAAAACGACTTGAATAAAACTTAAGTCAAAAAAGATAAAAAATCGCGTTTCATCAAAAGACTTAAGTACGATTTTCGACCTAAGTCAGACTTAATATTTTGCTTAACTTAAGAGACCGAATAGGTACCCTATGTATGACTTAAGTCAAAAAATTGATCTTACCTAACTGAAAAACGTTATTTCCTTGTAAAAGTCTTTAAAAAAGGAAGAAGAAGCTTAATAGTGCAACTGCTTTTTCAAACAAGTTAATTCAGCGTCAAATCTAGAATAAGTGTGTGGATAACAGATGGTGCATTTTTTACTGGGCAGTGAAGATGCAATGCCTTGATTGCTTCATTTTTGTTATGAAATCTGGTGAAACTCTTTCAGCGCGAAAAAGTCAGTGTTTCAGCAACAATTGGAAGTAGCAGAAGCTATGAGTACACTTTCCTAAGCTGAAATTTATTTTTTACAGAGTGTATCCATGGAAAATTAAGGTGTATTCCTAAAATACATA